AGCTAAACATGATATAGAGGCCAAGAGCTCACCATTATATTATGATGAGCGATTCAGAGACAGACTGCAGCTGAATGACCAGACTGGATCTCTGAGCATCACGAGCACCAGAACCACAGACTCTGGATTTTATAAAGCGAAGATCAGCAGCAACAAACAGACTTCATACAATAGATTCACTGTAACTGTCAGTGGTGAGCATTCAAGTGTTTTGAAGTAATGATTGTTTATCAGCTGTCTGAGATTAATTCAGATGATGTGACTTTAAAGGGCTCGGATCATGAGAAATCAAACCTTCCTTTAAAATAGAAAAGCTTGAGTGTACAAAGACATTATACAGTTACATTCAGAACTCAAAACATATAATAGTGTTATAGATCAGATGCACATTCACACTAATGTCTCTCTTTATCATTACAGAACCAGGTCTGTCTCCAGGTGTTGTAGCAGTGATTGTTCTTCTGCTAATGGCTGCAACTGCAGCTGCTGGCGTTTTATTTTATTGTCGCAAGAACTCTGATCTAAATAATCAAAAGTGTAAGTATTACAGATGATACAGGAAGAAAGAGTAAAATTAACTCTGTTGCAGTAGATTAAAGTGCTTAAACTGCACATGAAGCTTTCATAATAGTAAGACTTGCCTAATTCACAAGTCATATGGAGATTTATTGTACATTTCTGGTGTTTCAAATATAATTTTCTATCTTTCTGATGGTCATAAACTCATTGCATGGAAAAGAGCTGCATAAAGACTCTTTAATATCAAGCCATACACGTTTGTAAGAAGATGGCGAGTAAATAATGACAGATTTGTTTAGTAATATGATGTGTTATGTCTCAGTGTTTCTGTCATGTTCATCTGTTCATTCACATATAATCTAATTTTTCTTTCTATGTGCTGCTGTGACATGAAGTGAAAATCTCTGAACGACAAAAGGAAACATGTAAGTATTACAGCTGATAGAGACAGAAAAGTGAACTTGTACTTTGAAAGTGAACTTTATAGTTCTACAGTTGTCTAAATGTAAAATATGCTTTTTCATTGTCAGTAATTATATATTATAAATGTTCCCCTTTTATTTGATTTAGTGTAGTAGTTAAAGGCACAATATGTAAGTTTTTTTTATTAAAATATCCAAAAACCACTAGAACAGTGTTATATATTTTGCTGACTTGTGTACTTACATTATCCCAAATGTTTCGAAGAATGTTTAAATCCAGAGAAATAAGCAATTTTAACTAGTGGCACGTAGCGTGTCTATAGTGTCATTGTGTCGCCTGTCAATGACTTCATAACCCCTCGATTTCCGGTTTTGTTTTGTAGAAAACATGGAAACACCAAAGACATTTTAATATGTTGTGCGTTTTAATAGACCGGTGACGACCGCACAGAGTAGCATTATAACAGAACTTTCTAATGTATCTAGTATGATAAAACAGCGCTGCTTTTTTTTTTGCCCACATACGCATGACCGGAAGGAGCGGAAGCGGTTGACTGTGGCATAATAAAAGCTCCGCTGCTTTCAACCCGTGTGTCGCACTCGTTCAGCGGCCTCGTTTCGCTTCGACGGCTTTCAGCCTCACCCTGCTTTATTCTACTACGTTAATAAATCATTAGCTCATCCATGAACATGATTTCTGCCCGAGTCCCGTCAGATTGCATCGGTTGTGGGGATGAAGACCAAAACTCCCATGATTTCACAGTCGGCGTCATCAAACTACGCCTTTGTCTCTTTGTTTATTTTGAATACGCGCCCTCTAGTGGCGAAAATGACATATTGTGCCTTTAATGAATTGTGTGATTGTCCAGTATTGAGTTGTATGACATTGATACCTTTGAATTAAAATCTGAATCTTTGTTTAAACTGCTGAATTTACAACAACTACATTTAGATCTGTGTTTGATTGTCTTTTTGTGTTATTAGGGGTTGAGCATCAATCATTTTCAGTGTTTGTTGTGTTGTTCTTCTACTATTGAAGCTCACAGAAATATATAATTTCAGCAGCAGTTGGCATAAAATCATAGTCCTTTGCTCGGTTATCTTGAGTTTTATCTGGTGTGTGTGACTTACAAATACATTTTATGTGTAATCTCCTAATCTCCTAGTTTTTCTATTTCTTTGTGCTGCTGTGACATGAAGCGGGGATCTCTGAAAAACTAAAGCAAATGTGTAAGTATTACAGCTAAAACAACAGGAGAACATGAGCTTTTTTGTGCTACAGTAGAATTTAAATGTGTACTATGATTTTTCATCAATATTTGAGCAATTCCAGTGTTATGGGTGTGACATTTTCAGTCAAAACTTTAAATATACTTTCTCATAGAATGTATTCATTACCAATATATTGAACCATCTGTTTATATTTTTCTAAAGCCCTCGAGTCCAGACATCAGAAAAATATCAGTCTATAAATGTGCTGTATATTTTAGATGAGGCAAATACGTGACATTTTTGGGTGACAACATATTTTGTAGACTTTCTGTGAATTACAGTGCACAAACCAGAAGCAACAATATTAACAGAATGGAGAAAGGTTGGCTCTCCACAGAACAATAAATATATATTTTATTTCAATTTTCATTTACGCATATCAGAGGAAGAAACAGTGTTACATATAGAAGCCCGTTTCCACCACTGAATAAAAAAAATGAGTACAACTACATGTGACATTGGCTGTACATGTACAACCTGTTTTATTGACTTATTTCCTTGGTTGAAACACTGAGACATAATAAAATAAGTTTTCAGTAAGTTCTTTTGTTTCTTTTAACATACCTTCTGATGTTCATGTATGTTTATTTTGTGTTATAACTAGTAGTAAAGAGGAAGAGATGATCGGTTCACTTGTGCTTCTCACTGCGGTCTGTCATGCCACATTAAAGAACATCAGAATTACATTTATAGTTTGAATTTTGTGATAAAATTGACAAAATTGGAAAGAATTGGACCGGACAGGGGACTTGTTATAGTTTAATTTTATTCAAGCAGCGTTATTTGATTCAAACTTTAAGGCAATTTATTTATTTATTTTCAAAACCTGCATTTGAATTGGTATTTAGATATTTTTACAGACCTATTATTGTAGCTCAGAGGCGGAATTACTGATTGTTAATAAAAGGTCATGCAGATGATGAAATGATTATTAGAAGCACATGAAGAATCACGTATTATCTTCTCAGTGTTTCTGACGTTCATCTGTTCAGTCACTTATGATCTCCACATTTCTGTTTCTATGTGCTGCTGTGACATGAAGCCGAGATCTCTACACAACTAAAGCAAATGAGTAAGTTGAATTAAATATAAAAACATAATGGGTGTGACACTTAACTGATGTTTAAAATAAATAAAAGAATGTTTACTAGTTAATTATGTGATAAGTATTATAAGTGACATGTAACAATAAAGACCTCTTAGTTAATGTTAGGTAATGCATTTACTAACATTATCTAACAATGAGCAAGACATATGTTTTAGTTGGTAAATACTGTTTGTTTTAGTTGGTTAATACTGTTTTAATACTCTGTTTCTATATGCTGCTGTGACATGAAGGCGAGGATTGTGAAAAAGTATTGCGTAAGTATTAAAACTGATACAGCAAGAGTAATATTGTGCAACAATAGTTCATACATGTATTATGACAACAAAGTTGATAACAATATATTTTGTTTACTTTAACTTCTCTACATTTTAAAGAGAAAATTTATATTTTTACTCTGACCATTCACATGTAACTTTGTTCAATGTCATGTTTAGGGTGGGAAAATGTTGCTATAGTAACAGACTGGAGTGCCATATGAGGCAATATACACAATGTACTTATGCACTATCCTCAACTGTGTATTGTGTGAATTTTATATTTATTTTGTCTTTCATAATCTGGGTAGCGCTCCCCGTCTGCTCTGTAATTAAAGCTGTGAATGAGTGTATGAAGTGTCCAGTGAAAATTACTTTTAAATGTAATGTATTATATTGCGTAACTCCCTAAAAATGTAACTAATTACATTACTTAGTTACTTTTTATGGAAATTAATGTGTTACATTACTTTTGCATTACTTTTCTCATCTGGGCTGGGCTTCCTTGTGTGTGTGTTTTTTGTTTGAGTTCTCTCGGCCACCGTAGAAAACAAAAAAAACTGATGTTACTTTTTTGGAAAAGTAACTCGGAATGCATTAGTTCACTAGTTACGTAAAAAAGTAATCTGATTATGCAACTCGTGTTACTGTAATGCGATGCCCCCAACACTGTGTCCAACATTCCACATTTCTTTTTTCTTTTCTTTTTTTGGTTAATTAAGTGCATCATCTGGGTATTTAAAGTGCACTTTATTATTAATATTGTTATTGTTATTTAATTATTTATTTTCAGTCATAGTTCAATAAAAAACTAGCCAGTTAACCTACAGCATTACTATAAGTCAAGATGTAACATACTGTATTGTTGATACAAAGTTATTTACATGATTAAGTGATTATTGAAGCACCAAAGAATCACAGTATCTTCATGTTCATCTGTTTCTATGTGCTGCTGTGACACATGAAGCTGAGATATCTGAACACCATCAAACATGTAAGTATTAAAGCTGATACAGCCAGAGAAAAATAAGATATAAATAAAATATGATTTTTCATCATCAGTAATTATACAGTATATTATAAATGTTATATATATAAATTTACATGACATGGTAAATGCTGTGGAAGTACTGTTCACATTAATTTACATTAATGATGGCTTTAACTTATGTTCACACATACACCATTACTGTAATTCAGGGGTTCTGAACTCTGTCCTTCAAGTATTGATTTAATCTAATCAAACACACCTGAACAAGCTAATAAAGGTCTTCAGGATTATTAGAAAGCTACATGCATGTAAGTTTGATCAGGGTTGGAGCAGGAGAGTGGATCTCGAGGACCAGAGATGAGAAACCATGCTGTAATTGTTACTGATCATAAATATAAAGTCGTACAGATGACGAAGTGATTATTAGAAGCACATCTCAGTGTTTCTGTCATGTTCATCTGTTCATTCAATTAGAATTTCCACATTTCTCTGTTTCTATGTGCTGCTGTGACATGAAGTGAAGATCTCTGATAAACTAAAGGAAATTTGTAAGTTGTATAGCTCATACAGACAGAAAAAAAGCTTTATAGTGCTACAGTTTAAATGTATAATATTTCATTGTTTTTTTACCATTAATTCTGCTTGTGTTTGATTTAGTGCAATCATTAATGAAATGTTTGATTGTCCAGTAGTTTCTGTCATGATCATTTGATAACCCCACTTATCTCCTCATTTCTCTTTGGCTGTGCTGCTGTGACATGAAGCGGATTACTCTGAACGACTAAAGCAAATGTGTAAGTATTACAGCTGAAGCAACAGGAGAAAATGAGCTTTATTGTGCTACAATAGAGTATAAATATACAATATAGTTTTCCAAACTTTTGTTTGATTTAGTGTGGTATTGAGGATTGAGCTGCGTGACATTAATATACTGGTCACTGTTATGATTGGTTAATGTCATTGCATAGGAAAACGTGTCCCTCACTATTGCATAAGTGTTACAAAACCATCACTTACAGACAAAATTTATGAAAGTGTTAACTCACGGTTTGTGATGCAGCTGCTGCTTCATCTTTCAACTGGGTTTCTTGCAAGCTCTCCATAACACTGCCTCGTTTACAAATCGAAATGTTCAGAACAAGCATAATCCTTCGATGTGATCCGGGATGTCATTAAAAATAAACCATCCACTTGTTCCTGACGTTGGGATCTTTTTTGAAATCTACAGAGACACGAACAAGCTGTTTAAACTGGATGCGTGCGTCAAAATGAATGCTCAGTGTTGACTTGCCAGTGATTATAATTGGTTCCATTTCCTTTTTGCCATTGCTGCTTCCCTTTATTGTTTTTCCAGCAGTGCTAAAACTTTCCAAAATGCAACTGCTTCAGCCACAGCTTTGTTTCTTTTGACTGAGTAGATGCTAGAATGGGTTTAACTGTATTTTGATTGATGAGACAGTGGTCTTCATAAGGAACCTGTTGAGTCCATGTTCAATCCAACATCAGGCCAAGGTTCTTCCTCTCTTCATCTGCTGCTAGCCCTTCATGTTGCCTTTGTGCTCTTCTAAAAATGAATCCCAAAATCGATACGCATGCATCAATCCTGCGTCACAAGTTTAGTTCAGGAGTTGTGGTGGCTCCTGCAGTTTCTATAAAGAATCACTCTTGAAGTCTTGGGGTTTGGATGCCAGAAAAATAGACTTTATTATCAGAGATAGTGCAGTCGAGAGGCTCTGCAGAGAGAGTCTGTCTGCACAATCTTTTATAGAGGATTTCCTTCAAGGCGTGTTCCATACATGTCTTACATCATGTCATTGTTTACCTTTTCTTGGCTATGCCTCCAGTCTGCTTCCTGCAAGCAGACTGGAGGCCACAATTGATGTTACGTTAAAGGAAGAGGCCCATTATATATTTTTTGTCAAAACAGGATGTGCAGCTTTGTGATAAACCGAATGTCTGCACATTCTATTCATGCAGGCCTCTACACACACAGGCAGATACATGCTTATAATAGTAGACTAACTTGATACATAAATGGCTATATTCACATTGATTATATTTGATTAATTTATATTTTGATCAATAAAAGCTCTTCATAAATGGCCTTTACCTCAGAACAGCTGCTTTCTATGTTCTCTTTCATATCTTGGGAAGCCTCATCCAACAATATTTCCTTGCCTAGTCTTGCATTATACATCCATTAGATCATTTATATACTGTATTTATATGGTATATTAATTACACATGTTTTTAGTGTTTATGCAATGAAGGGGTTACTCTAGAAGGGCAAGAGTGTGAAACAGATACACTGACAGAAAGGGAGGGGTATATACAACTTTTAATGATCTAAAATAATTGGATTTAATGATCTATAAGCATGTGTAAAGCAATATAATTTTAATATCATTTTTGGGGTGAACTATTCTTTTAACGGTACACAGACCTGTATTATGTCAAAAGATCAAGGATAATTGTATTACTCATGCCATGACCCATTTAAATCGCATTAATGATGCCTAAACTAATGTTCACACAAAACATTACAGTAATTGTTACTGATAATTCATATAAAGTCATTAACATAAAGTGATTTTTAGAAGGACATGAAGAATCACACAGTATCTTCTCAATGTTTCTGTCATGTTCATCTGTTCATTCACTTCAAATCTCCTCATTTCTCTGTTTCTATGTGCTGCTGTGACATGAAGCGAAGTACTGTGAACAAGAATTGTGTAAGTATTAAAACTGATATAAAGAGAAAAATTAGCTTTATTGTGCTACAATGTACAATATAGTTGTCCATGTATATATGACAATGCTTAGTCATTTAGTGTTTCTGTAAAAAAATGAGGTCAGAGAACTTCATCTGTTCATTCACTCATAATCTCCTCGTTTCTGTTTCTATGTGCTGCTGTGACATGAAGGCAAGATCTCTGAACGATTAAAGCAAATGTGTAAGTATTACAGCTGATACAATCAGAGAAAAATGCTACAGTATAGAGTTAATGTAGCCCTGATATAAAAATGTCTTGGATGTGACACATCACTTAACTGATGTTAAAATGTATATAAATTAACATTAACCAATAAGTGCTGTGGATGTCTGTTGTTAAGTCATGCAGATGATGAAGGGATTATTAGAAGCACATTAAGAATCATACAGCGTCTTCTCAGTGTTTTTGACATGTTCATCTGATCACTCACTAATTCTGTGTTTCTGTGTGCAGCTTTGACAAAGAAAGGGGAGATCTCCGAACAAAAAACACGTAAGTATTGCAACTGATACAGGAAGAAATGTGTTTTAAGTACTATACTTAAAAGTTATTTGCCAATGGTTAGTAATTGTCAAAAAACTCAGTCATATCCATCAATAAAGGATCAGCAAATGAAACTGTTATCACATATATCATTAACTTGAGTGAATGAAAGGCAGTAATCAGCAATATGCATTCACACAAATAACTTTAATGTTTCATTGATACAGTTTTAGTCGTATGTAACATAAGGAACCGATTAAAGTTATTTGAACCAGTTCATTGAATCAAACTGTCCGAAAGAGCTGGTTCACGGAAATGAATCGGACTAGGCATTACTATCTTAAAGGGACAGCAGTCTAATAAACCTGCTGCTGTCTGTATCACTGTCAATAAAACAACAAAAGATGAACCGATTTAGGCAGGCTTAGGGAAGCATATTGGGATATACATTTTTACCGATAAATACATTTTTATAAATCACCGTCCCCTGCTTTTACATCAGCATTGTTCTTAATGACTTACTTAAAATTTGACTTGAGTCACTTTTCATAAAGGTCTCTTTATTTGTATTTAAGGACACTCTATCAGCCTCCTGAACCATCTTAATGCTAATATCTATTAACTAAAGTTAATAGATATTAGCATTAAGATGGTTCAGGTATTTCAACAAATAAATTATGAATTTAACTAATATAATGTAATTCCGTGTGCAGCTTTAATAGATGAAGTGGAGATCTTTGAACAAGAAATAGGTAAGTAAATTAAATTCTATTTAACCTAAATTCATTACTTCAGACTTGTGTGCCCTCTAGAGCAGGGATCCTCAAATCTGGCCCACGAGATCCACTTTCCTGCAGAGTGTAGCTCTAACCCTAATCAAACACACCTGAGCATGCTAATCAATGTCTTCAGCATCATTGAAAAATCACAGTTAGGTGAGTTTGATCAGGGTTGGAGCTAAACTCTGCAGCGCATTGGCCCTCCAGGGCAAGATTTGAGGAACCCTGCTCTAGAAGCTTGCATTCTGCAAGTGAATGACGCATTATTGTGCCATCCTAAAGAGGCACAAAATCATTTTCACTGACTTTTACATTAACTGTTACCTCCTGGTGGAATGACCTGCCCAACTCAATCCGAGCAGCTGAGTCCTTAACCATCTTCAAGAATCGGCTAAAAACACACCTGTTCCATGTTTATTTGACCCTCTAACTCTAGCACTCTCTATTCTTTAAATTCTACTTTATCTATTTATCTACGTTTTTTTTAATAAAAAAAAAACAAACAAAAAAACACGCTTTCTATTTTTTCTATTCTATCTACTTGTTTTTCTTTGTGTGTGTATATGTGTGTGTATTATATATATATATATATATATATACCTTGCTACGTGTACTGCGTTAGACCAACCGAGACTTGTCATTTGCACTTATATATTGTTGCTCTTTTGTTAGTTCTGATTGCTTTTATTGTCCTCATTTGTAAGTCGCTTTGGATAAAAGCGTCTGCTAAATGACTAAATGTAAATGTAAGTATTACAACTGATACAGCAAAATGTGTCCAAGGGGTCATATGATGCTTTTTTAAAGATCATTATTTTGTGTATTTGGTGTAACAGAATATGTTGACATGCTTTAATGTTCAAAAAACACATTATTTTTCAAATACTGTACATTATTGTAGGTCCTCTATGCCCCGCCTCTCTCAAATGCTTCGTTTTCTACAAAGTCCGTCCTTCCGACAAGTGCAGTCTGCTCTGATTGGCCAGCTGACCCAGTGCATTGTGATTGGCCAAACACCCCCAGCACTCGTCGGAAATGTACCGCCCCATACCATAATCGCGAGCTTCATCTTTAAAAATAAATGTAAAGACAGAGCCCGAAAGGGGAACAGAGCTGCGTGACAGACACAGTGATGAAGCTGGTATGTGTGCAGTACACAAGCCACGGTTAAGACAGCTGACTCCACTGTAATGTGACC